ACTGAGAACAGGGGGAAGAGAATTATGTAAGTCACTTGAAGTTTGTTATAAGAAAAAGGTGGGATATAAATCCAACCAATAAATATTGGATGGAACAACATTCTGACTAGTATAAGGCAACTTCATATGTTCTTATAAGCCCTAACCCTGAACAACAACATAGGTCTCACAGGCAAGAGATCTGAGGTTTTAAGCCTTAAATGTGAACTTGCACTGGAAACAGAGAAGCATTCAGAGCTAATCAGAGTGAGGGCTGCATGGACCACTTACTTGCCTCTCACAAGTCACAGCTTGCCGGCTGACCCACCTAAGGTTATCCATTACTCTATCTGTTTGCCCGGACATATTCAGTAACACCTCCTCCCCCCCCCCCCCCCCGCAATTCACGATCTCATTCATCATGACAGCAGTGATCAGACAGCTTTAACTCCACTAAACCTCAACAGGCCAGAGAAGATGCAGATTCTAATCCCTGGTAGTACAAGACATCTCTGCTCTTTGTACTATTTAAAGTCTTGTCCTCAGGTGAGAAAGGAATCACTTCCACCCAAGTTCTATCTGCTCCACACCAGTAACAAACAACCACTGTGACAAAGCAGCTATGTTTAATAACAGCATCAGAGATGAAGTGATGCTTCTAAAAAACACACATGGGTGAAATTGCCAACTTTCTTGCTCTAGCATCACTTGTACAACTTTAATAGCTGCACGACAGACAGCAATATGGTAGCTGCTGTTTGCACCCCTTTCCAATTCTGATACTGGGTATGGCTTCACTGCAATATATGTCTGTTAAGCAGCTTATACAGATATAGCACCTTCAACCTTCATCAACATGAAGGTTGCCAACCCCACAGAGAAAAAAAGAGAATCAGTCTGGTTACCATTGCTGGTCATGTTACAGGCTTCCCTTGATCTGCATGCTGCTGGGACTAAGGGCTATCCTTATCACTATACCTGTCAGGGGACTGCCTATGGGGAGTCAAGGAGCACAGAAGAACATCAGTGATCAGCAGTCAGCAGCTGCAATACATATTTCCTAGATCCAGATGCTCAGTAGATATTTGTAAGGAAGTACTGACACCTAGGTCTACCACCAATGCCCTTCCTTCAGCCCTGCTGGGGAATGAACTGTAGTCACTACTCACTAAGACAATACCCACTAATCCCCTGTAGGGAATTTACTTACTTGATTTATATCCTACTTTTTAAAAAAAATAATGAATTCAAAGTGGCTTACATCATTTTTGTTCTGCTGCTCTGAATCTTATCCCCTCCACTACAACAACCCTGTGAGGTAGGCTGGGCTGAGTATCTGTGACTGGAGAGTATGGAGCCAAGAGTATCCCTGCTTGGCTCCATGACTGAGCAGCGACTAGAACTCAAGATTGCCCGAGTCTCAGTCTTGCACTACACTGGCTGTGGGAGTTGCAGTCAAACTCTGCATGCAACAAACTAGGCTGTGATCTCCATCTTCAAAAGGAAGTGGAACATCTGGTATTCATAACAGAAACACACCTTCCTGACCACCAGACCTCTCCACTTTCTGCATGATGTCTTCATCCCCTGTGCAGATGACATTGCTGCTAGCAGCTAAGTGAGGTAGGAGAGTTGGCCAATAGAGTTGGCCAGTGTGCACGCATGCGCAAGTTGACGGGGAGGCAGAGGAGACCTTTGTAGCAACTGTAAGGCAATGTATTTTCTTCCTCCTTTTCCTTACCCTCATGGAGTATGTTGGCCTTGCAGCCCTAGCTATGCTGGTGGAACAGAACTTCAAGTTGCTTGTGTGAGTTATTGTGAGTTTGAGTAGCTGTAGGGGTTCTGAGATGATGACTGTTAGCAACCTGCTCTTCCTATAGATGTCCTGAAGCAAGGCAGATTTTGTGAAGCATTTTTTCTTCATTAATACAATTATATGGTATTATATATGGTATGCCCTATCATCTCAGTTATGTGATCCCAAATAAATTCTGCTCTTCACAAGCTGCAAATAAGAATGTTAGTATTGTGATTAGAGCAGCAAGTAGAGGGAGGCAGTGTGTTCAGGAGGCATATTTTCTCTCTTTTTTTCAGTATAATTGTTGTCGGTGTCAACAATTGCAGGGACCCAGGAACAGTGTATCAGATACAAGGAGGTATTCCAGCAGGCACTATTCTGATAAGACTGCTGAATGTCTTTCTTTCTTCTCATCCATAGTGTTTGCCTCTAGTTAAAAGGGAAACTCGGAACCTCCTTTCACTCCACTATCAAGATGTTTTGCACACAGAAGTCTACATGTTGTTGCTCAACTTTGGTAATCTTACTGCATTTGGACAGCTGGGATATGACAGATCCTCCCTCAAGTAGAATGATCCAATGCCTTTTGCCAGACTGACCCACATTACAAATTTAACTTCAAGTTCCATTTCCAATCAGATGACTTCAGAGTAACCCGTTACCCTGCTTCTAACACTTCCTCCTGCAAAAGCTGGATCATACAGTTTACTCAGCTCATGGATAGACTAGCTATTAGCAGCCAAGATAACTGATTGACAACACATGTGGTGTGTTGTTCAGGTCAGCTGTAGAGTTTTTGGAATGCTCCCAATACATGCTAGACTTGGAAATAGCTTGCTACATTATATACACTATTTCTGAGTAAATATGCTCAGGGTTGTACTTTAAGTACAATGGACATTGAAGCATTAGATATTAACTGTTGGTTTTGAAGATATGCCATATTAAGATTTTAAAACCACTGCATACACACAAGAAAGTTTATTTCCCCATATAATGCTCATGATGGAAACAGATAATGGGCATTTTAATCTTTTTTGATCCAAATCCTTATTTATAATGATAGAAAGACAAAAAGCATGGCAGTTTACAGATTTCTCATTTTCAGTTGTGCTAATCATGCTAATGCCTTTACATATATCTCATTCTAAAAAGAGGACAGCAAAGAAGGCACTACATTTAGCACCTAATATTTAGCACCTCACAGATTTCTCATCAAGAACAAGCAACTTACAGCCTGACACTATACATGTTTACTCTGAAGCAAATCAAATTGTTTCAATGAGACTTACTCCCATATGTGTGCACAGGATTAGTCTCAGAAGACTATTACAGAGGACTGCAACAAAAACATTTCACAAACTAGAATCTCTCGACATCAAGGTGTCTTCAGCAGGAGGCACATCAGAATTCCTATTTATATGAATATGATTTATTTCAAATACGAAAGCACACACTTGCATTTTGCTTACCCCACCCCCCGCCCCTGAGATCAATGCTGGGCTGTGATTTGACAGACATCAGTTTATAACATGCATTATCTGACCCAATGTATTTGTTTTCAAATCTCTTTGTCACATTCTTTTCCATTTCTTCCCTCTGGCTTTTAGTTACACACTTCTAATAAGTGATCAGAGCATGAAGGAATGACAGTCCATGTACATGTTAGGTTTTACTTTCACTGATCAGACTATTTAGACAAGCTTTGGTTTTACTCAAAATAGAATCCCTTGTTGCTGGAAACTATTTACAGTGCTTCTTGCTGTTAAAGTAGTTGGCACAGCTGGGTATCATTGCTGAGCCTAACCAAGCTATTACAGCTAGTTTAAAAAGTTGTAAGACTCTGATTAAGACATCGATCATTTCTACAAAAATAGTATTCAAGTCACAGAGCACACTACTATTTCCAAAACAAACAACATTCTTGTTTGACTGTGAACACATGAAAAAACTGTTTCTTTTAAATAAAGTTTACCACAGAACCAATACTTACTGGACATAAACTCAAAAATACTTTTTCTTCCCTGCAATTAGGCACTTGCCTAGTTAGTAGTTACAAATAAAAAATGTTTGAGGATACAGGACCAGTTCTAGTGCTCCTGTCTATGCACTGAGGACAAATGTAGCAGTCACAGATATTCAGATAAAGACAGCACAGTACTACAGCTGTAATGCAATTTCTCTCATTTCTGAGCCACAAGAGACAGCAAATGCAACAGCCGATCTTAAACTACATTGTTTGCTTCTTCCCCAGTGGAAGAAGTATTTACTGCTACTGTTTTTACTTCAGTCTAGTATATTCTAAAGTAAATTGACTTCAATAGCCAGAAGACAAGGCAAGATTCAAGTTTACCAGTCACAAAAACCCTACTTTTGTCATATTCATCGTGAAGCAAGCTAGAGAATAAATTAAAACATTACATTGAATGTTTTAGTATGTATGTTGATGTTTGACCTGAGGAAAACCTTAGAAAACTAGGAGTCAATCCTATTAATACACTTTTCATGCATCAACTGAATATTCAAATGAGTAACTTTCTCAAAGAGGAATGGATCGGCAGCTAATGGAATAGCACTTATTATTATATAGACTGTGTGTAATGTATAGTAGATAAGCGATACAGAGAGAACATGGAGGAGAGTAAAAACAAGCAAGGAGAATGTATTTCTAAAGTGGCGGGTCTACTGGCTGCCCATGGGTTCAGCAGGGCAAAAGTCTGTGGGGCTGCTTTGATGAGTTCATTTTCCTGCAGTTGCTAAGGCTGTTATATGGGTATGCCCGTTGAAGTCACGAGGTCATTTCCAATGCCAGGAAAACCTTCCCAGGCTATGATATGATGGTGGAGGGAAGAAGGCACACACTAAGACAAGCAGAATAGCAGGTGGGTGACTACCCCAGAAAACATAGTTGCAAAGATCCATTTGTTAGAACAGGAACGAGTTACTAACAGAGATATGTACTTAGTTTCATCATGGTATTAACTACTGTACTTGACCATGCTGAAAAATTTAGGGAAACTCCAAGCAAAATACAACAGCAACAACAATAATGTGATAATAGTAGTAGTAAAAGCAATAATAGCAACAACAATGCACGGCTTTATTACTGTCTTCCTAAATAATGCAGATGTATTAATATACTGCTTTGAAAATGGGTCTAGTTATAAAACTTATCTGTGTTGTACCATCACTAACACAATATCAAAAGCTTCAAATTACTTACATTAGGTCTTCCCAGTGCAGGAAATACAGAAGGGGTACATTCTTCTTTTGCAGGATCTGAATATCTAATCTGATCTATTCTCATGTAGGAATCATAAAGGCCATCTCCAAACCTGGCTGGAAATAACAAAGATGGTCAATCAAACCTAACACCAATTCATCTAAGTAGTACTTTCACTTTATTTTATTTTTCATTTGCACAGAATAAAAACACAGCAACTATTACCACAACTAATGAGTCACTTGCTAGTTCTTAAGGGTTTACTTGCTAGTTCTTAAATGAGGGTTTACCTCATTTTGGAATTTTTTTTAATATGTTCTCAAACTAACCATCACATGCTGAAATGGTAGTTTTAAAAGCTTTCACCCCAGCAATGTGCTTTAAATTAAAAACTGTGTTTAGCTATATATGAGGTAAGAATTTTTAAAGTTATATTGCATTGTTCTATCAGCATTTATGAATTTACTGACTGAAGCACAGAGAATCATACTCTCAAAAATGGTGATGACTTAACAGTCACTTCATATTAGAACACAAATTCAATAGTTTATCAATACCTTATTTAAATGAAATTCAAGAACTCAATTTTAAGATGTTTTTAATACAAAGGATGGAATCCACTATACATTTATCTGGAAATAAATCCCATTGAACCCAGTAGCACTTGCTTCCAAATAAACATGCAGATGACAAGAATATAAATATTCTCTTAGAGCACAATCCTGCACAAACAGAAAAAGTCCTATGCCTCTCAGCATTTTCCAGCCATTGGAAGCTGTAGGACTTTTTCTGTCTAATCCAGCATAAGATTGTGCCATTAATTCCTCGGATTAAACCATATCAAATTATACCTTTCTCATCTGAACACTATTCACATATTTTGGATTTTAAAAAAAACCAGAAACAAAATAAATGTCACACAGATACAAGAATATGATAGCAACATATACAAAATGGTAGGATAGCCATTATTCTTGAAAGTGCTCTACTTTTAGAAATGTGCACACTAATACTGAAAAACCTATAATATGAAAGGAATAGAAAAGAAGTGGCTCCCCCCCCCCACACACACATGCAGAGAAGCTGGCTCTTTCTAAAACTTGGATTTCAAGCAAAGCCACAAACACATAAAACAGTTACACGAGAATTACTGCTGACTGCAAGGAAGGAATGCTCTGTTCCCAACGTTAGTTGAGAACACAGTAAAATGAAGCCAACCAATTTGCTGAAGGAAAAATGTCAAAAATCTTCCTTATGCAGAATTTGGCAATGACCTGAGAAATCTGGCCTGCTTCAAGTCTCTTAAAGTCAAGTAATAGAGACCATCCCAGACCCACGCGGATTACTCTTCCCCAGCCGTTAAACACGCTGAGACGTAACAAAGCAACTGTTACAAAATTCAAGAGTCAAAGCAACGGGAATCCACGCCGTTTCTTTTGTGAGGTAAAGGCAGCCCCGTCAACCCTTCGGATTCAGGCCAGCTTGTCCGTTGGTTGCGGACGCCGTCGGCTTTGTTGTTTTTTTTTTTCCCCCTTTTCTTTTTTTTAAAGCCTCTCATGTGCTGGGAGTTTCCACTGGTCTCCTGGGCAAACGGTCCTGAACATTTGCTTCGCTTTTCCGTCGCTAGAGTCCATCCTCTCCAGCTAAAATACTCATTCACTCTCACCAGGGCTGCAATCCCGTTGCACGCCTCACTTGGGAAATGTGTCCCACCTCGAGGCTTATCGCTGAACAATCAAATCCGCCCGGGGATCGGGCTTTAACGTCCCGCCGAACCGTGCCTTTTCCTCCCACGTGGCTCCGCGATCTGCCTGCGAGAGACCCGGCGGCCCTTTATGGCAAAACCACAACCTAGGCTCATTTCTGCCCCCTCTTCTCCTTCTGAGGAAGCCTCCCCATAATGCTGGTTCCCATCCGCACCCACAGCCCGATTCGCGTAGCCAGCCGCCTTCCGCCGCAGAGCTCTCCTCCAAATGGCTCAAAACGGTTTAGCGACCTCTCCGAGCCCGCACAATCGGGCGGGCAGGGGGAACGCGGGGAGCAACGGGAGCAGCGCCCCCTCTTTGGCCCTCGCCGCCGCCCGACGACGGATTTCGTGGCAAACGGCAAGCCCAGCAGCGGATGGCTCTGCGGACAGCCACCCTTGTGGGCGATCTGCACAAAATGTGAATGCAGGCGCACGTTACGCTCTTCCTCTGCCATGATACTTTGACCGCAGAAGCCCCTGCCCGGAGTCTTTGTCGGCGCGCAACGGCCCTGTTGCCACCCTGCCGCGGAAACAGAGAAGTGGAAGGCTCCATCGCCGGCAGCGGGAGGACGGGGAAACGAGTCCCAAGGTGAACCCAGAAAGGGCCCCACAAAGCTCCCCCCACCTCCCATCCCCACATGAACTAGGCCGGCCGATTGTTACCTGCGGTGAGGGGACCCTCCGGCTTCCTGCTCAGCAGCATCATGGCGACGACGGTGGCCGGGGGGAAGCCTGTGGGCCGTACGCCCCATCACCCCGCTCAGGCCTGCACGGCGGCGCGATCCCCCACTTCGGCTTCTGCTGGCTGCCTCGCTCGCCTCCAGCTCCTCCGAGGCTGAGGCAGGACGGGCGGGGCCGCGGCAGCGCTCAGGGCGCGGTTGCTAGGGGAACGTGCGCTTGGGCCGCTCTGCGCTTGCGCGGCAGCAGGAAGGGGCAAGGAAAGGGAAGAAAGGGCGAAGCCGGGCGCGCTGGCAGGTTCCTCGAAGGCTTCTGCACGAATCTGCACCCAGATGCATGTGCACGGCGTCGGCGCATCACGGGGCGCGCTCCAGCCTGTACACAGCGGATTCCCGCAGTACCCACGACCTGTGCTGTACCCTTGGGATGCTGAGGAGGGCGAGGCAGGCTTGAGTTTGTGTGTTTCAAGAACATAGCTAAAGGGAGCCTTCGGCTTAGCGGTCGGTTGCCTCTACAGTGCGACGTGGTATACGATAAGCACGCGGGGGCCTTTTAAGACGGCATACGTATTTGGAAGGATTGCAACCTGACTAAAACCAAGCCAGGTTGCAATCCTATGCATGCTCTTACTTTGGAGGAAGTCCCATTGAGCTTCGTGGACTTTCTTGCTAGTAGACAAGCATACGATTGTCTTACCCGTTTTGAGGTACCTGAAAGACTAAACATACGCTTTTGTAGATTGAAGTCCGCTTATCAGATGCATGAAGAGTTGCCATAAGTCGGAACAAAACTTTCCTTGTAGTGCAACAAACTGATACCTATACTAACCTTTTGGAAATCAACTTAAAATTAGCACAGTACTAGTTAAGAGCCACTTTTGTCCATCAGACAGGCTTAATGAAAAAGAGTAAGGCAAGAGGGAGTGAACAAACGGGTTGTAACGGTGGGGAGCAGGGGAATTCCACTGGGCTATTGGCAGTTGTCCCTGCTGGGCTGTGCATCCTTAGGTGGCCAGCCATGTGGTCCCTCCCCTACGTGCTCCATACTCTAAACCTTTGTCTACTGCCTTACCTATAGACAGTAAAAATCTGCTTGAGTTTTTTGTTTGCCAGCTTGTTCCTATTTGCAGAATAATCTAATTTGTTTTCAGCACAGTCTGTGAAATTACAAGAAAGCTATTTGTAACATTTGTGCTCCCTGCAGATCCACATGTTCTCCTCTTGTAAAAATAGGAGGTTAGCTTGGGCTAGTGGCTACTGCCTTAAGGCTAAATTTAGCTGGCATAATCCTTCCTTTCTGCATGGTGCAGGAATGTGGTAGTTCTGTAGAAGTTTGAGCTAAATTAAAATTTATGCCAGAGGATTCAGTACATAATTGTTGTGCTCCCAGAGAGCAAGAACTACAAAATAAAGGGGTTTTTTGTGGGGGGTGGTGGCATTTTTTTCTATTTGACAGGTTTGTGTAACTTCCAGGCTTGAATATTTTCAGCAACAGACTGTGAACAAGGTGAACCAAATACATCATTGGTTTACCTTGTTGCATTGCATTATTGCATTTCTATATTGCCCAATAGCAGAAGCTCTCTGGATGGATTTACAACAGTTTATAAAGAAGAGCAATATAATTTGGCAGAAGTAATAATAACTATTGACTTTTTGTGAAACTTTCTAATATTTGTGCAAAGTCCCTTGAAATCTTTTTCTTCTCTTTTTCTTCTTTTTAATTATGAAAATAATTACAATTATAAAAAGGACAATGTAATAAACTAAATGTAATAAAGGACAAGCCCCATTGTAGACACACACAGGACTGTGATCTTTTTTTTTAAGTAAGTCTTTTTCTGGCATTTTGCAACATTTATCTTCAAAACCTTTCAGGGTGTGATCCTATCTATATTCAGACACAAGAAAGTCCTGCATTTCTCAATACTCTTTGTCTACAGATGCATAGGATTGTGCCTCATATACTCAACAGGAGCAACAGTAGATGGCAACCTATTCAGTCTTTCACACAAGCCAGTTAAAGCTAAACTACATAGATGTTCAGTATAAGTCCATTCAGAAATAAGCCCTATTGAGTTCAGTGGGGATATTTTTAAGCAGGTACGGCAGATTTCTAGGAGACCTGCAATAGATCAGCAAGGGTTCCTGATACTAACAATAGCAATACAAAATATTATCCCCCCTTTCTTAAATTAGGCTACTCGAACAAAACTAGGATTTGTGTGTGTGTGAAAGCACTGAAATCACACAAATATTTCTTTAGCATTACAGAGATCTTCTGTGCCTCATCATCATAAGCATACAGTGTGCAAACAAAATACTTCATACATCCTATTCTCACATTAAAAATATGTTCTGTTCTAAGAATGGAAAATACTGCCATTATCCCAAACAAGCATTTTATGCTGGGCTATGCCTGTCTTTATCTGTACCCCTAAAGTAAGTTTGTACCCAATGGTCCTTCTTTTAAGTGAAAACTCCCACTGAGCTCCACACAGTTTTTAAGGATACCTTTTGTTTATTCTGCTTAAAGGCTTGAGTAATCAAGCCTTGTATAAAATACTTTAAATGAATACCCAGTCCTCACCAATATCATTACTATTTTCTTTCCTCTTTAAGGGCACATGAATACTTTTGCATAAAGGAAAGCTGAGAGCCATCTGGTGCTGTAAGCAGGGATCACAACCCAACTTTTGTCCCTTGGAAAACAGGTGCTGTGCCATGCCATTTTCCCTAATTTTCACACCTTTCATCTTGCAGGAAACCCAAGGTGGCTTACATAGCCCCCTCCACTTTTTATTCTCACAACAACATGCTTGTGAGGTAGATTAGGCTGAGAATGAGTGACTGACTGAAAGTCACCCAGGGAAGATCATAACTGTGTGGGCACTAGAGCCAGGATCTCCCAAGTTCCCAGTCCAACTCTTTAACCACCACACCAAACATTAACCTTCCCTCCCCAAAATAATGCTTGAACATTTCAGATGGTGTTCTTTAGAATCAAATTGCAACAGTATTCTAATGCTTTCTGTCCTTTGTAATCCTATCAGGAAAAACAGTGGCTGTGTCTACAAGGCAGGGCAGTCCATCTAGTATACTGTGTGTGTCATGTCACAAGTACTTTTTCCTTCCATACGGTTTAGATCAGGGGTCCTCAAACTTTTCCACCAGGGATCCAGTCAAAAGCTGCTGGCGCTGGGTGCGGGCCAGAAAGGTGTTGCTGGTGGCACGCGCGGGCCGGTGCGGGAGCGGCATGTATGGGCGCGCGTGCTGCAGTGGGGGTGGGATGTGCGACGAGGCAAGGTGAGGCGCAGGCGTGCAGTGGGGGGAGGCGAGGCGAGGCAGGGTGGGCATGTGCTGCGCGGGGGGTGCATGAGTCAGCGGCTTGCTCGCTTGAAGATCGTTTTCTCCAAGGGAGCAAACTGCTCACGTGGTGAGGTGGGCGGCGGTGGGCGCACGCATGGCAGGTCCAAATGGGCATGGTGGGCCGGATCTGGCCCCCGGGCTGTAGTTTGAGGACCCATGGTTTAGATTAACCCAGGCCACATAGGCTCCACTTTGGAAGATGGGGACAGGTCCACTAAATTGTCTCTTGAGATACATGGCTGGATTTTGCATTTGTGGTACTCCTGAAAGAGTGGTAAAATGGTGCTTTCCTACAAGAACAGAACAGTGAAAGTATCATCTTTATAAAGACCACTGATTAGTGATACCTAGTTTTTGACAGACTTTCACTAGAGAGGATTAACTATATTGCGTTTTTGGGCAATGTGCTGGAATGGGTGGTGGCGGGACAACTCCAGGTACTCTTGGATGAAACTGATTATCTGGACCCATTTCAGTCTGGCTTCAGACCCGGGTATGGTACTGAATCTGCCTTGGTCGCCCTGTATGATGACCTGTGCAGGGAGAGGGATGGGGGAGTGCGTCCCTGTTGGTTCTCCTGGACCTCTCAGTGGCTTTTGATGCCATTGACCATGGTATCCTCAATAGGCTAGCGGGATTGGGGGTCGGAGGCACTGCTTTGCAGTGGTTCCGCTCCTGCCTCAATGACCAATTCCAGAAGGTGGTGCTGGGGGACTTTGGCTCTGTGCCATGGCAACTTTGCCATGGAGTAGCACAGGCTTCCATTTTGCCCCCCTTGCTATTTAGTATCTACATGAAACCACTGGGAGAGGTCATCAGGAGGTTTGGGTTGCGGAGTCATCAATATGCTGATGATACCCAGCT